TTGACAAGAGAGAGAGATGACAGTGATATAACCATCATCGAGCGTGGATCTGAGATTTTTATTTTCTTTGTTTTACATTGTTTTTCTCTATCAATGTAAGCTTCTGATACAACTATGTAAATTTAAAGCCATTAAGCCATTAACATCTTCTGTCAACTCCCTTTATTGCTGTTAACTTTGATACTTAGATCACGTTTGTCAGTTATATATTTTAATTAAAAAGTGAAAAAGTCATTATAAGATGTCACATCATTCTTTTTATTTTTTTTACATCTTTTCATTAAAAGTTAAAAATTTACTAAAATAGCCTGCTCCCAAACGAGATATAAGGGGGGGGGGGCCTCTTTGTTGTAGGCAGAATGCCATATATGAAAAAGGGTTGTACCCTTCATTTGATTATTTAATGTTGTAAGCCTGAGGGCAACTTATTCAGAATACTCATGTATTTGATTAGCATTAAAAGGGAGAGTTGTGTTTCACTCCTTCTAATTGAACACTTGAGTTTATTTCCGCATGTTATTTCTGAAATTGAATTAAGTTAATAAACTTGGTAATGACTTCGAGTAATAAAAAGTGGGGCGTGACAGAGTAGGGTTTGGGGAAATTGTGGAGTTGGGTGGTAGAGGAGAGAGAGAATGTGATGGTGGGATTGTTGTCGGAGAAGGTGGATGGGGTGAAGAGGGAGACGTGGCCGAAGAGAAGGCCATCGAGGTCACTTGGAGAGAGAGTGTAGAAGGGATGCTAAGGTTGGGCCTGAAATTTGCATCTTCTGCAATGGAATGTCTTCCATGGCTGCTGCTCAGAAAGAGAGAGAGAAGTGAATTAACAAAAAAAAAAAAAAAATTTGATAACAGAATTTAAAAATTCAAAAATGCTAGATACTCTAAAAATTCTACTAAAATTTTTATCAAAGGTCTCACATGAGTGTGAGACTCATATGGGATCTACATTATGTGGGTCCCATACCCATGTAAGACATTTAATAAAAAAATTTAATGGAATTTTTAAAATCTCTAACATTACTCTTAAAAATTAACAAAAATTAATGGGTGTGTTTGTGTTTTGAGATAAATTTCAAAAAAAAAAAAAAAAAAATTAGGAGAGAGAGTTTAGAAATTCTTTTGGTTTGTTTGGTAGTATATTTTGAAAATAGTTTTGGAGTTTGAAAGTTTGGGATGATTTGATATTTGCATCAGCCATTAATGAGTTTTCCTGCAACATTTATTACGATAACCCCTCACGTCGGAACAGAATAGCCTCACCATGAACAAGGCAAGCTAGACCATAGACTTTTGGCCAACATGATGGCTCGGAGTGGACAAGAAAATGATGAGCAATGGATATAAGCAGGCTCCTAAGACAAAGAAAAGGAGGTTAAGTTCTCTATCACTAATCTATCTCTCTACGTTCAACCATCTTCTCCCTTCTCTAACTTGATCGTTGGAGGGTTCGCTGGGGGACTCCCCGTTCCCCATTGGACTATTTTGCAGGTTTCACGGTGGGTCCTACAATCGGGCAACGACTTGAGAAGGGTGGACAGCCCTGACTCGCTTCATCTGTGGCTAGCAACATCATCAAAAGTTTATCAGGACATGCTATCAAAGTATTTGACAAGAGAGAGAGATGACAGTGATATGACCATCATCGAGCATGGATCTGAGATTTTTATTTTCTTTGTTTTACACTGTTTTTCTCTATCAATGTAAGCTTCTAATACAACTATGTAAATTTAAAGCCATTAAGCCATTAACATCTTCTGTCAACTCCCCTTATTGCTGTTAACTTTGATACTTAGATCACGTTTGTCAGTTATATATTTTAATTAAAAAGTGAAAAAATCATTATAAGATGTCACATCATTCTTTTTATTTTTTTTACATCTTTTCATTAAAAGTTAAAAATTTACTAAAATAGTCTGCTCCCAAACGAGATATAAGGGGGATATAAGACCCAAAAAAAAAAAACAAATGGTAGTGAAAATGATAAAAAAGAAGAAGTTATTATCCCTGGTTAAATTCTGTTAATACGGAGGCAAGTGGAAAGGGAGGAGGAAGAGCTTTGAGAACAAACAATTGGTAATAATAAAATGTAACGATGGAATGGCATTTGACTTCAAACCCTGGCTAGAGGACTGCTGCCTCTATTATTAAAAAACTTGTATGGAATTACATTTGTAAGATAATGATAAACTTGAATGTCTTTTATTTGATGCTTTTGTTGATTATGATCTAATAGTAAAATTGTCGTGTCTTGAGCATTTTCTACTCTGTTTCTTGATTTTATTCTTGTATACTAGTTGGCTTCAAATGAAGCAAAAATTTTCAACACAGATTATACTTGTCTGTTTTTTCTTCTTTATTTTTAAGTCCCCCAAGTGAATTACTCCAAATTACTTATTCAAACTGAATAATATTTAGAGGAAGTGAAATTCCTTATTTAAAGTAAATACCAACTTAAAATATGATTTCATTTTGATGTTGATCTAGGTATAAGCTAGAGAGCATCATCTTGGGTATACAAGGACAATGTAGCCCGATATTATAAATGTTGTCATGTCCCACAATTTAGCCACTAAAACGCAGAGAAGTTTTACCCCTGGATCACTGTTGCTATCTTTAATTATGCTCTCTTTTGTGCTTTTTCTTAGTGAAACCATGGGTAATAGCTCCAACCCACGCTTTCGACACAAGGCAACTTGCAATGGGCTCAAAAGTGATTTGGTGACATCCATTGCCTCATAATTCTCAATCTTTGCTACATTAGGACTACATTCCAGACCCCAACTCACCTCTTACGGAATTTTCTTCTTTATTTTTAAGCCCACTAAGTGAATTACTCCAAATTACTTATTCAAACTGAATAATATTTAGAGGAAGTGAAATTCCTTATTTAAAGTAAATACCAACTTAAAATATGATTTCATTTTGATATTGATCTAGGTATAAGCTAGAGAGCATCATCTTGGGTATACAAGGACAATGTAGCCCGATATTATAAATGTTGTCATGTCCCACATTTTAGCCACTAAAACGCAGAGAAGTTTTACCCCTGGATCACTGTTGCTATCTTTAATTATGCTCTCTTTTGTGCTTTTTCTTAGTGAAACCTTGGGTAATGATGCTCTCTCTTTTGTGCTTTTTCTTAGTGAAACCATGGGTAATAGCTCCAACCCACGCTTTCGACACAAGGCAACTTGCAATGGGCTCAAAAGTGATTTGGTGACATCCATTGCCTCATAATTCTCAATCTTTGCTACATTAGGACTACATTCCAGACCCCAACTCACCTCTTACGGAATTGTATCCTCTTATAAATTGATCCTAACCTGCAAGAGCCCTTACTCCTATGGCTTTTTATTTCAGAATTTTGGGATTGGGTCAATGCATTTTTTTCTTAAATGCATAATGGTCTGGACCTCTCCATATCTCATTTCTACACCATCAAAACCAATCCGGTTTGACTCCATACGAATATCTTCCAATATGCATGTATGTATGTTGTCTTGGATGTTGCTATTCCTCTTTTCAAATTCAAGGCTACCTTGTTGCTTGTGATCTTCTGTTGAACAAGGGCTTGATGTATCTATTGCCTTAAATCTTAACTGACACAATGGCAACCCCATTCCTGTGAAAGAATTGTAAATTTTTACCCTCATCTAGTCGAGAGTAAGTATCCCTCTTTACCACAAGGATGTCCTTTCCCAAAAGGACCACTTTGGAGTGGCTTGGATTTGAGATTTTCCTTCCGATAAAGATCCTTCCTCTTGATTTATTCAGTTGGAGTACTATCAGCTTCATGTTTTCTCCTAATTTTTTCTTATGCAAATCGTAAAACTTTCATGTTTTACATAATCGGGCCCTTAGTAATTAATTCCCTCAGTGCTTCGGGCTTGTTTTGCTTCCATTTCGTGTGTGTGCGCACACGTGCATGTGTGTTTTTCTGTTTTTTTATTTGCAGGTGGTTGAGGAATTTTCTGGTGCTTGAATAGGATGTTCTTTAATTCGAAGCTATGTTAATGTGCCAGGCTGATATTCTTCTTGAAGTCTCGTCCTTGTCCAATGTCCTTTCTCCTCTAGGTCCAGTGTCTACAGTGCTATGAGATTTCTTTGGTTCAAGAGATACCCCTTTTTGGTGCCATAGCTCTTGCTGCCTTTGCTGCTTAAGCACGGGTCTCCTTTTAGCCTTTGCTATTTTTTTTTGGTGGCACCAGAGACTACGGTAGCATCTTTTATAGCTTTTCCTCCTTTATTTTTTTCTTTTTTTTTTTAAATTTTTTTTTTTGGGGGGGTTTTGATGTGGTTTTACTCTGTTTTGTTGGCGGTTACTTCGCTTTTTGATTTGCTGCTGCATAGTTACGCTGCTGGTTGTTGCCTTATGGCCGTTTGTAACAACTGAAAACTGTTTGTACTTTTTTCCTATCAATGAAGTTCTTATTTGCCCACAAAACACACACACAAACACACACACACACGCACACGCGCGCACACACACACAAAGTTTGTGCTATCTTATAAATATAATTTTTTGTTCTGGTGTTGGTTTCAGCGGGGGAAAAAAACAAAAAAAGGCTAGATGTGAACGACGTTAAATTGTGATGTTTCGGGAAAAAAACATTATTAAAAATCTACGCATAAATAGAGATAATCTAGTATTTAAATGAGTTGACTATGAACCCAAAGGATTGGCCTAGTAAGTATAACTTGGGTTGGGAAGTATCCTTTCTGTAGGTTTCAAGTTCAACTTGCACTAAATACTATCAAATTTTTGAAGTCATATCTACATACTGTGTTTGAAATTTGCTTGATTTACGTAAAGAGACGTTATGCATAAGTTTCAAAATTAATCGAGATGGGCATAAATTAAATTTGACATCCCATCATAAAAATATGAGTTGATTAGGAGAGGATCTCCTCTCTGCGTTTAGACCTGGTCAGGGGTTTTAACCACCACTTCTTAAGCTTGTTTATTAATTAATTAATTTTGTAATAAAAAATGCAATAAATTTGTGGCACCGTCTATTACGCAGCAAAATAAAAGAGGTGGGTCATACATATTTTAGCCGTTAGTAACTCCCCGTCAAATGAAGCAAGGAAAGAGCTTTATCCAAAGGAAAAAACTAGCCGTTTAGTACCAAAACCAAACAAGACTCTTCTGAATACTATCCTTTTGTTGTTCACCCAGAGACTCCCTACTCTCTCTCTCTCTCTCCCCCAAATCCAAAGATTCCCTCACTTTCTTTCTCCTCACTTTGTTCCTCCACCACCTGCTCTCTATTTCTCTCATATTTTTTTTGAGCTTCTCTTTCTCTCACATTAATCTTCGGTTTCACTCACCAACGTTAGATTGTCTGTACTGAATACGAAAGAGAGAGAAGATCAAATTCCATTCTATCTCAATCCTCTGCTTCAAGTTCCAAAATTTCTTATACTTCCCATAAAAACATCAGCTCTTAGCTCATGAATCAATCACAGACATACCCTCTTCAGTTTCGACATTTTACACAAAAATGGATTAGTGTTCGATGTTCTTCTTCTTCTCATACCCACCTCCTCCTGTTCATTCTGCTACTCCTTTTCGCCTCTGGATTTGCTTCAGACCAAGATTGGGATGGGGTGGTTATAACCCAATCAGATTTCCAAGCTCTCAAATCCCTCAAACACGAATTCACCGATTCTAGAGGACATTTGAGGAGCTGGAATGACACTGGCTATGGAGCTTGCTCAGGTGGGTGGGTTGGAATCAAGTGTCTCAAAGGTCAAGTCATTGCTCTCCAGCTTCCATGGAGGGGCTTAAGTGGTCGAATCTCCGAGAAAATCGGTCAGCTTCAAGCTCTTCGAAAGCTCAGCCTCCACGACAATGCTCTCACTGGTGTTTTCCCCAACTCTCTCGGGTCTCTCCCCAATCTCAGAGGACTTTATCTATTCAATAACCGCATTTCGGGTTCAATCCCGCCTTCAATTAGTGGCTGCCCTGTTCTTCGGACCCTTAATCTCAACAACAATAAGCTCACTGGTACAATTCCTTCTAGTCTTGCAAACTCTACCAAGTTATACAGAATCAACCTGAGCTTCAATTCAATTTCGGGTTCTATACCGGTTAGTCTTTTTGGGTCTTTTTCGCTAACCTTCATTGCTCTCCAACACAACAATCTCTCTGGCTCTGTTCCTGATTCCTGGGGTGGAAATGAAACAGAGAAGAAGATCAATCAACTTCAAATCTTGACCCTTGATCATAATCAGCTCTCTGGAACCATTCCAGCAACAATTGGAAACATATCCAGTATAACCCAATTTGATTTTTCCAACAACAATTTCACTGGAAAAATCCCAACTTCACTCTCCAACTTACCCAATCTCACTCACTTCAATGTCTCCTACAATAATCTCTCAGGCTCTGTTCCTTATCTCCTTTCCGAAAGATTTGATCCGAGCTCTTTTGTTGGGAATTCTCAACTCTGTGGGTATATTACCTCAACTCCATGTCCTTCTCCCCCACCCCAAACTCTTCCCTCTCCACCACCATCGAGTTCAAATCATCGCGATCGCAAATTGAACACCAAGGACATAATCCTCATAGCAGCCGGAGCCCTCCTGGTGATTCTACTGCTTTTGTGCTCTGTTTTGCTCTGTTGTCTGATCAGGAAAAAAGCTGCGAAACGAAACAACGGCAAGAAAACCGGTCAGGCTGTTTCGGGGAGAGGAGAGAAGGGGGTTCCTGTGGTTGGGGGTGAAATTGAATCGGGTGGTGAAACTGGGGGCAAATTAGTCCATTTTGATGGTCCATTTGTGTTCACAGCTGATGATCTGTTGTGTGCAACGGCGGAGATAATGGGGAAGAGCACGTATGGGACGGTGTACAAGGCGACTTTGGAGGATGGTAATCATGTTGCTGTAAAAAGGCTGCGAGAGAAGGTTGCGAAGGGGCGGAAAGAGTTTGAAATCGAGGTCGTGGAGCTTGGGAAGATTCGACATCCGAATATATTAGCCCTCAGAGCATACTATTTGGGACCCAAAGGAGAGAAGCTTCTTGTCTTTGATTATATGCCTAATGGGAGTCTTGCAACCTTTCTCCATGGTAATTAAGCTAAACCAAAACTGTTTTTGGTTGTGTTTTCATTTTTCGTATCTTTTGAACGTCAACCATTATAAAAGTTTGATATATGAGTTCTTCATGAGTGTGACAAAAAAACGTAGATACAATGTTGGCTATTATCATGAGAGTTGGCTCCACAGTAGATCTTGATAACTAGAATTCCAGTTTAAATGTTTAATGTTAGTGAGTGGACAAACTAGATCTTGATCTTTTTCTTTTTCTTTTTTTTCCCCGAATCCATGTTCTTTTAAGACGCACTTTCCAAACCCACGTAGTTTTGAACTTATTTTCCAATCCGACTATTTCAGCCTCTCTATTTTCATAAACACGAATTCAATGGTGTTTTGAAAACCCTAAAGGCTCAATAAACAACTTAGTATGGAAAATAAGTTGAAGAAAAATGTTAGGAACTCAAATGTTTTACTAAATATTTTATTAAATATCTCACATGGTGTGGGACTTACACTTGAAAGTTACTTTGGTTGGGGTAAAATGTTTTGAGATAATACACGTCATGGGATGCAAATGTTTTCATGATATCTGAACGTTGATTTTTTTCTTCTTTTTGTCGAACGACTATGGTTTGATGTCTGCATTTTTGTCTGCAGCTCGAGGGCCTGACACTCTGGTAACCTGGCCAACAAGGATGAACATAGCAATGGGAATCGCACGTGGACTACGCTGCCTCCACAACCGAGAGAACATAGTACATGGGAACCTCACATCAAGCAACATAGTACTCGACAAACAAACCAATCCAAAGATCACAGATGTAGGCCTCTCGCGGCTCATGACTAGCGCTGCCAATACAAATGTGATTGCCACAGCAGGCACATTGGGCTATCGGGCGCCAGAGCTCTCAAAACTCAAAAACGCCACCACAAAGTCCGATGTCTACAGCCTTGGGGTGATCATGTTGGAGCTCTTGACAGGGAAATCAGCTAGTGAGGCAACAGATGGGGTTGATTTGCCTTCTTGGGTGGCCTCAATTGTGAAAGAGGATTGGACTAATGAAGTGTTTGATGTGGAGCTTATGAGGGATGCATCGAATTCAGGGGACGGATTGCTTCAGACATTGAAATTGGCTTTGCATTGTGTTGATCCGTCTCCGGCAGCAAGGCCTGAAGCTCAGCAAGTTCTCCGGCAGCTGGAGGAGATTAGGCCGGAGATGGTTGCCAGACCTGGCGATGATAGTAACAAAGCTGCTGCATAAGTGAAGAAGGTTTTGGATAGTTTGAAATTGGAAGTGTTTTATTATTATTATTTTTTTATTACAAGAATGGCTTGTTTAATTTGTTATATGTGTATATAAAATCTATATGAGTTTATTTATTTATTTCATTTGGGTTGTTGTTGAAATGTAGGATTGTAATAAAATTCTTTCTATTCATATTCAAGTGAACGAAATAAAATAGTTATTTATTTTATTTTATTAATGAAGTTCTTGAGATATATGCTCCGTTTGCTTATTTTGTTTGGTTTGCTAGTGTTGAAATATTTTTTTCACTTTTTTAAAAAAAATAAAAATAAATAATATATTTGGTATTTAAATATTCAAAAAATAAAAATTAAGAGTTTTGCTATAAACATTCTTTTAACTACATTTTGTAATACATAATAAATTCTTACAAAATAAACGATTCAAATTATTAAAAAAAAAATTCAAAATAAGGTTGATTACTACAACAGGCACCCCTAATATTGTGGGTAAGTAACAGAAAGTGAAAATAATAGTAGTAAGAAAATATATTTGACATGTTTCCACAAGAAAAGTATGAACTCACCCTTGTTTTGAAAATGAGTGGAATTATTGGGCTTGTTTGGTTTGTACTCAAGATATAATTTTTAAGAAAATTTTTTAAAATTTTATTTGGTTCAAATTTTTTGAATTTTTTTTTTTCAAAATCACTCACTCTCTCTCTCTCTTATATCAATCAATCACTTTTTCTCTCTATTTTCTCGTTCTTAATTACTTTTTTTCTCACACACATCTATTCTACTACAACAAAATATCAAATCATGCTAAACTTTCAAACTCCAAAACTATTTTCAAAATATACAACCAAACAAACCAAAAAAATTTCTAAACTCTCTCTCCCAAATTTTTTTTGGGAAATTTATCTCAAAACACAAACCAAACACACCCATTAATTTTTGTTAATTTTTAAGAGTAATGTTAGAGATTTTAAAAATTCTATTAAATTTTTTTATTAAATATCTCACGTGGGTATAGGACCCACATAATGTGGATCCCGTATGAGTCTCATACTCATGTGAGACATTTGATAAAAATTTTAGTAGAATTTTTAGAGTGTCTAGCGTTTTTGAATTTTTAAATTCTGTTATCAATTTTTTTTTGTTAATTCACTTCTCTCTCTCTCTCTCTCTCTGAGCAGCAGCCATGGAAGACATTCCATTGCAGAAGATACAAATCTCAGGCTCAACCTTAGCATCCCTTCTGCACTCTTTCTCCAAGTGACCTCGATGGCCTTCTCTTCGGCCACGTCTCCCTCTTCACCCCATCCACCTTCTCCGACAACAATCCCACCATCACATTCTCTCTCTCCTCTACCACCCAACTCCACAATTTCCCCAAACCCTACTCTGTCACGCCCCACTTTTTATTACTCGAAGTCATTACCAAGTTCATTAACTTAATTCAATTTCAGAAATAACATGCGGAAATAAACTCAAGTGTTCAATTAGAAGGAGTGAAACACAACTCTCCCTTTTAATGCTAATCAAATACATGAGTATTCTGAATAAGTTGCCCTCAGGCTTACAACATTAAATAATCAAATGAAGGGTACAACCCTTTTTCATATATGGCATTCTGCCTACAACAAAGAGGCCCCGTGGCCAACAAATAAGAAGATCCAAATCTTGTAGCACATCCTGCTAAACACCTGAAAAAGATTCAACAACGTGGGATGAACATATAGTCCAGTAGGGATCTCAACAATAACAACATACAGATAGCTATGATCTTGAATGCTCAATCTCATACTAGAATAGTAATGTGACAGTTTACACAAAATATACATAAGTATGGATTTTTTTCTCGAAAACAACCATTTCAATCAACGCCTTAGGCGATCCATCTTTCCCTTTTCCTTTCATTAATCCCCGTTCCCAATCTTTCATAACATTAACAATACCTTAGGAAATAATTTCACTATGCCCACTACTCTCTTCCATTTTCCAAACATACACAGATATGTCTTTTCAAAATATATATTTCTTTAAAAATATCCGTTCTCCTTCACACTTTCCAAAAGACAAAAATGACATTTTGGCTTCTTCCCGATACAATCAAATCTATACATGCACAGTTATAAAAAGGGAGATAACAACTCACCAACATGCATAAGATAAAACAATGAGGCAACTCGGCCCTCCAAAACTGTAACTGACATAATCCATGATATTCCCAAACACACTGAAATATCAACAATGAAACTTTGCTCTACTAGCTATGTGCGTAGTAAGCCAAAGATACACCTCTCACAACAACATGCCAGTTTACTAGGCGCTAGCTGGAAGAGTATGGTGCCTTCGATTCTCAACGCAGTCAGTTCTCCAGGCGCTAGCTGGAAGGTCACGGTACCTCTGATTTTTAACGCAAGGTGTAACACCACAAACCCAACACAACAGGGCATAATCAACATGTATAACACATATACACAAACCATCAAGATACAAGCAATGTGTTAAAGTATATGAACACATAACTACCTCCTCCCGAGCAAGTATACATATATAATGTATCTCAACACTTCATCACATACGAGGTTCCATCAACAATGGTATAATGCATACACGACAATTCAACACAACCGAGTCATCCTCCACCGATGACCAAGGACAAAACCTCTAGATGCAAATATTTAGTACATCTATTAAAGACTCAATTATCATGAGATCCCAAACCCACCAACAACCCAAGCATGGTAGCTACAAATTAATTCCCCCAAATATGTGCACTCGACATGCATGATACAACAATCCAGTTCCCGTATTTATTTTCTATGACTCACATAGAGTTAAAGTTTCATTCTTCACTTTCAAAATCAACTTTCATAATTTTCCAAATCAACATGTTCCACCACTTATTCTAAAAACACATTTCTCATTTCCCCAAAATCAATTCCATTCCTTTCATAACCTTCCAAATTAATTATGCAAATTAAGTCATAATTATTAAGTTAGGGTTTTTCTCCCTCTTTCTTAACATTGACCAAGAAGGTTCAATCATCAACAATAAACAACAAAGACCTCATTTGAGACCCAAAATACACAAGTATTTGCCCAAAGAACAAAACCCCTATTTTAATTTATCATGACACATATAAATTAGGGCTTTTATATATTTCAACAACAACATGCTATTTTACGCCACAAATAGTCCAATAGGCACCCAAAGACAATAAATCCATTTTTAATCAACCAACTCCTCGGTTTAACTCTGCTTGTAAACTTTTCTCAAGTTTCAACAAGCGTTAAACATCTGCAATACAAGATTACCACATGTCTATCTATAGACGAAGTATTGAAAAAGAACAAGGAAATCCCTACCTCAAATGTAGAACCCAAGGAGAAGAAGAGCTAAACTCGGAAGTGCTCCAAACACCAAATTTCTCGGATCAAAATGTAGCCCTCAATGATCAACACACTTCTTACAAAGGATCAAGGTGAGGAAAACACTCCTACTAGATCAAACCCTAGAGAGAAGTTAGGTTTTAGAGTGAGGAGCTCTCAAAAATCGGTTTTGGGAAAGCAAGAGAGAGAAAGGAAATGTAAAAAGTGATTTAAAATAGCCTAGCTGCCAACTGATATACGATTCTCCCGCTCGAGCGGAGAACACAACGCTCGAGTGTCAAGGACAAAAAGCTAGGTACGCTCGAGCGCAAGAAGGCCCGCTCGAGCTCCAAGACACAAGAATAAAGTACATCCGCTTGAGCGCGAAAACCAGTCTGCTCGAGTGTAGATTTTCCCCTCCCAGAACTTATACCAAAAAGTATTACCCGCTCGAGCACAAGAAACTAGCTCGAGCGTAGAAAACACATCTGCAGAAGTTTTGCAGAGGCACGAAATACTGAAACTGTGAAAACCCCGCTCGAGCGCAAGAAGACCCGCTCGAGCGGACCATTCAAAAAAAAAATGGGCAACAACAATGGGAGCTAAAGCTCTACCAACCTATACCAACCAAGCCCAACACATTCTAAAACTCAAGCAAAAGAGTTTAAAGGTTGACAACACGATAGGTACAACTACCAACTCCACGGAACCGCGTCCGGAAAACAACAGAACAGAAAAGGGATAACCGGGATCGCTATATACTCTTTCTCTCCCTTCATCTTCCTCCTCATCACGACCCCCTTTCAAGCCCAATTGATCCACTCACACGACTACAAAGCATTTCAATTTCGATAATCTACCCAATCTTTTTAAGCTAAAACCCAAGATATGGTCAATATTGGCTCGGAGCCATTACGACGATTTTCGTCTAATTCTCCGTTTTTGAGTTCGATGGTGGAGGATGGGAAATGTGAGATTAAGAGCTTTGGGGGTATGAGTAAGGTTTCCGATGAACAGAGGGACCTTGATTTGTGCATTGAGGAGTTTGATATGGGGCGGTTGAATTGGTTGATGGGTCCAGAAGCCATAAGTTATTTAGGGGAATTCGAGGATTTGTATGATAAAATGCTTGCCAAGGCTTGTGGAGAAGAGTTCAGCTAGGGTTCTTGAGCAGGTAGGAATGTGCTGTTAATTGTGCTCAAATTTACTTGAAGTGATTGTTTTGAATATTGAATTTTCCTTCTATTAATTTTCGTGTTAAGATAAATTGATGGAACTAACAAAATTCTGAAACTTGGTAGGAAAATCACAATATGAAGTTGAGGTACAAAGTTGTTGGCTTGGAATAGTTGGTTATTTAAGGTAATTTTTTGTTCATTCTTTGAGATATATGTTTAGTTTTTGGAGATATAAAATTATTGAGTACTAGGGAACCTCATCTTTTATTAGCAATCTTGAACATCTCTTCATTTTCAGTCAATTTTTGTTAAAAGGTTCTGAGAGGGATATTTAAGGTCTAAAATGGCCGAGCTAGTGTGAGCCTTAGCTAAGGTTTTTACTCAAACGAAATGATGATGCATGTCGTACTGGGGTCTAAGCATGGTCTGATGTAGGACACGCGTACGACCGAAGTCACAGTCTGGACAAGTCAACGGCAAGAGGCTAGCCGGTTTGAGGATATGCATTTTTAGAAGACGGAGTTCATTCCCAGAAGGTCAGATTCGACCGAGCAGGAGCTCGTTGTGGATTATGGAGCTCTATTAGGCCCGCGAACGGGTTTATTCGATGAGACCAAGCAGATAGCGCGGCCCTGAAGGGGGATTGTGGTACCGCGCTTGGTATAGAATGGTGGGGTGTG